TGAGAGGTGTCAGTGATTTCCTGACAGCAGGAGAACCCTCCCACCACCACCCCCACCGTACCTTGGGCAGGTTGTAGACGTGGCGCTGGTAGATGAGCTCGTAGTGGGGCGGGTTGATGCTGCTCTGGTAGATGCAAAACACGTTTTCATTCGAAGTGTCTGCAAATGAAAAGTTTAAAAGATGAGGAGGGGGGAGGATTTCAAGGGTGACCCCCCTCCAGGTGAGCCAAGAGGAGCTAAAGGCGAGCGCCGGTACCTGGTTTATCCGGTGTCTGAATGAAGTGTTGGGAAGTGAAGGTTTTGCCATCGGGATACTTGGGGTGAGGGGGCAGCCTGGAGTCGAGGTAGGTGCAGAAGACATGCATGATGATCTGGGCAAAGAAAGACCAATCTCCTGTTAGTTTCCTTAAAAATACACCAGAAAGTCACAGAATCAAGAGGGTTGAGTGCACCCTCAGTAAGTTTGCAGATGACACCAAGGCAGAGTGGCTGGAGCTGCCTGGGGGTGTTGGTGGTCACCTGTTGGCTGAATTGAAGTCATAGTGAGATAAAGAAAAAACTAATTGCTATTTCGGGCCTCACTCTTGCACGCTGAGTTGATCGCCTTATCCATTTGGGAACGTCTTATGCAATAAGCTGGCATATACTGCTGCAGGTACAGAGCTTTCTATCATGTCCACACATGGAGCGTGTCCAGAGAAGGTCAACAGAGCTGGTGAGGAGGCTGGAGCACGAGTCTTGTGAGGAGCAGCTGAGGGAGCTGGGGGTGTTCAGCCTGGAGAAAAGGAGGTTGAGGGGAGACCTTCTCGCTCTCTCCAACTCCCTGAAAGGAGGGTGTAGCCAGGGGAGGTTGGTCTCTTCTCCCAAGAAACAGGTGATGGGACAAGAGGAAATGGCCTCAAGTTGCACCAGGGGAGGTTTAGGATGGATATTTGGGAAAATGTTTACACTGAAAGGGTTCTTAAGCCTTGGAATGGGCTGCCCAGGGCAGTGGTGGAGTCACCATCCCTGGAGGGATTTAAAAGCCGGGCAGACATAGTGCTTAGAGACATAGTTTGGTGATGGTTTTTTGTCAGAGTTGGGTTGACGGTTGGATGACAGAGTTGGGATGATGGACAGGATGATGTTAAAGGTCCCTTCCAACCTGGACAATTCTATGATTCCATCTTATCGAGCGTATTTGGGCCGTGAACTCCAAAATCATCTGTTCTAGCAATGGGTTCTGTACGAGCTGCGAGGGTTTGGCCAAGAAGGGCAGACTGAAATCAAATTACGGCTTCACCGACCTATCGAGTAAATTTCTCCTTTCTCCTCACCAAAGGCAAAATAAAAACCACTGGAAAAGCCATGAGTCTTAATAAAAATGCCAAAATTTTGAAATAAAGTCCTAGGATAAGTATCCAGAAAATCACACCCCAACCTGCTGGGTGTGTTTTAATCCCTCCTGGAGAGTCACTGTCTTGAGTAAGTTAATGTCAACCCTTCATGGCAAGGATTTATTTTAATCTCTTGTATTTTAATTTCTTTCCCAGAATTCTTAAAAAGTTTAGCATCCTGTCCAACACCACCTCTCCCAGCGGGTTTTGATAAAAGGCTGAATTCCAGGATGAGTTATTCTCGTCTCATGATCTTTAAAAACACTGTTGAGCTGTTCCCCTGCTGCCTGTCAGGACACGAAGAGTTGCTCCGTGGCCAGTCACCGCTAAATATTTCAGCACCTTCACAAACAGAAAATCAAATCCTATTTCGAGACTGAATTTTGTACAATTTCAGCTTCCAGCAACTGAATGTCATTGTATCTTTGTCAGCAAAGCCGCGAAGCTCTGACGTTCAGATCTCCAGCGTTTTATTCTCCCAAGGAACCGAAAATATATTTAGAGAGGGGAAAAAAAATAATAAATAAATCACCCCAACTCTGCTTTCAGATGGAGCTGAACTGAAGGCTCCCACTGTAAAGCCTGTTTTCTACTCCCTGAATTGTTCCGTGATCTTCCTTTTAATTATTCTAATGACCTCAGTTGAATTTTCAGGTCATTGTTTTACACTGAGGTCCCTCAGATTAAGGGACTAAGCATCACTCCAAGTCTTCTCTCGAGCAGGACCCACAACACCTTCAGATTTCTCCCCAAATATTACCGAATTAAACAGTTTAATCCACATTTTCTCCCTCTGTCCATTATAGCAAGGGAAAAACAAGACTGACAGACATTTCAGAGGAATCTAAGGAAGAGCCTGGCCTAAGACTAAGATATGCAGTTGCATTTTTGTGATCTAGACAATATCCAATCCTGTTTACCATATAATTATTCCCTATGGAATCTCACCAACTGCAATGGGATTATCGGTGTAAGTGACGCAAACAGGATTTTACCGTGTTCCTCCAAGGATTTACTGGCTCCTCCCTACAAAAACCTACGTGGAAAGACAGAATCACAGAATCTTCTAGGTTGGAAGGGACCTTAAAGATCATCTTGTCCAACCGTCAACCTAACTGACAAAAATAGACACCCACACAACAAACAAGGAGCATCATCACTAAACCAGACCTCCCAGCACTACATCAACCCGTCTTTTGAACACCTCCAGGGATGGTGCCTCAACCCCCTCCCTGGGCAGCCCATTCCAATGGTTGAGAACCCTTTCGGTGAAAAAATTTTTCCTAATATCCAGCCTGAACCTCCCCTGGTGCAACTTGAGGCCATTTCCTCTTGTCCTGTCGCCTGTGACTTGAGAAAAGAGACCGACCCCCACCTCTCTACACCCTCCTTTCAGGGAGTTGTAGAGAGCAATAAGGTCTCCCCTCAGCCTCCTCTTCTCCAGGCTGAACACCCCCAGCTCCCTCAGCCTCTCCTCATAAGACTTATTCTCCAGACCCCTCACCATTTTTGTCGCCCTTCTCTGGACCCGCTCCAGCACCTCAATGTCTTTTTTATGGTAGGGGGCCCAAAACTGGACCCAGCACTCAAGGTGAGGCCTCACCAGTGCCGAGTACAGGGGGACAATCACCTCTCGGGCCCTACTCCCCACGCTGTTCCTGATACAGGCCAGGATGCTGTTGGCTTTCTTGGCCACCTGGGCACACTGCTGGCTCAGGAGCCAATGCTGGCTCCTGACAACCTGCTCTAAGCTGTCGTATCAAGATGCCTTCAAAAACTTACAGAGGAGTCAGTGGGCAGGTCGGTGTCCCACTTGCGGCCTTTGAAATCCCCTCCTCTGTTCCATCGGAACGAACTCATGCACCCTCCCTGGGAAAGCTCTGAAAGCAACGAGATTCATGCAGTTACTGGGGGTTGGAAGTGTAGGAAAGCGGTGCTTTGTGCTCATTTCAGGGGTTTCCTACAGGTTTCCGGTGGACAAAATAGGAAGAGTTAATGCAAGGAGGGAAATTTACAGGGTAATTTTTACTTTTAGTTCACGAAGAGATTAAATCCAGCACTTTGCGCTCCGAGCACGCAGGAGGAAAATGAGAAATAAGGCTTTTAAAACCATTCCCAAAGTTGCATCCAACTCCTGCATCATTACATCCCTGTAAAAAAGGGAAAGTTGGGAAGAAACATCTCTCCTGCTTAAAAGCAGCTCCTATTGCTGCTGTGTCTCCTCGGAGATCTCCACTTAAGGAACCCGGTGGACAAAATAGGAAGAGTTAATGCAAGGAGGGAAATTTACAGGGTAATTTTTACTTTTAGTTCACGAAGAGATTAAATCCAGCACTTTGCGCTCCGAGCACGCAGGAGGAAAATGAGAAATAAGGCTTTTAAAACCATTCCCAAAGTTGCATCCAACTCCTGCATCATTACATCCCTGTAAAAAAGGGAAAGTTGGGAAGAAACATCTCTCCTGCTTAAAAGCAGCTCCTGTTGCTGCTGTTTCTCCTCAGAGATCTCCACTGAAGGAATGTCTGATGCCACCAACACTTGACTGTGGTAACAGAAGGGTTTTAAAGCCAGCACGGTGACACCACGTACCTTTGATCCTTTCGACCAAATACTCCTGGTTTGGTGTAAGATCCAAATACTGCACGATGGTGTTCAGAGTTGGGATGAGCGGAGCTTTAACGAGCGCTGCCTGCTTCAGGCTGCTGATGCTGGCTTCTGCAACACAAGGAGAACCAGCACAGGTCACCCGTGGCCACCACAAATCTCCAAACAGCCTCCCTTACCGGGTGTCCCTACAAAGAGCTTTCCTTTTTGGTGCACCATTTAACATCCCAGAAACATTTAACGTGTGACACCACCTCAAACACTCATTCCAATTCCACTGAAGTAGCAGAAATCTGCTTTATAGCACAGAATATAAAAGCTAGAAGGAACCAACATCTACTTTGAAGAAGAGAGGGAGTGACAAGGTGGGGACAATCAGTTCTTCCACAGGCATCACAACGGATGCGGCTTTTGAGGAGACGCTACAACAAACACCTGGCAAAAGGTGGATTTAATTTAAATGCAGCACCTCAAATCCACTTCCCAGTTAGGAGGACATGGATCTGAAGCAACAAGAGAAGCAGGTCCTTCAGGTTTGTAGCGTGACATGAAAAACAGAACTCTCCATCAGAATTAAAAAAATAGTTCTTTCAGAAAGCAGCCGATTTTAAGGAAAAGTTTGGAAAAGCACATAGGAGTGGAGACACAGAAAGTTTATAGGGAGACATTGAGAGTTTATAGGGAGATGCCAAGAGTTTATAGTGCATCTGTCCTTGAAATGGTTTCTGACAGTTTAATATGCAATAATGAATGAGAATTTCATAGAATCATAGAATGGTTTGGGTTGGAAGGGACCTTAAAGATCATCTAGTTCCAACCAACCTGCCATGGGCAGGGACACCCTCCCCTAGACCAGGTTGCTTAAAGCCCCCTCCGTTTGAGCCTGTAATTCCCCAGCTGTAAGTTTAGAGAAGGAAAAAAAAAAAACACACAAAACACCCAGGAAAAAAAAATCAGGAAAAAAAAAAAAAGAAAAAGAGAAAAAGAGAGGTTTATGACTTTACACAAGTAAAATTTTACATCAGTGCGATTCAATCTGTATTTTCAGGAGTCTTATGAAGAATCTTTCCAGCTTAACAGAATGACAGAGAGCAAAGGCCACACCAATACAGACTGGAAATGGAACAGTAATATTTAGCAGACCTAATTAATGTAAGCCCTCCCCAATGCCCCAGCTACAGAACGGCTGGCATTAACCACGGGGAACCCCAAAGCCTCATCCCTACCTCCAATCTGCAACTCAGGACACCCCATTCTCCTCAGCTGAGTGCTCACAGACTCAATCTCCTGGACAAGAGGCACTAGAATCGTCTCATTAATCCACTAGGAAAGAAAAAATGAGAGAATTCAAGAGGTCAGAAGCAACAAAAACATTAAAGAGCCCCCAACTTTTAGCTTTAATTATCACCATTACGACCACAAAGAAGCTTAACAACAGAAACACTGAAGCCAACCAAGGAGGAAAAGTAACTAAATTAGAATACCAGTTAGGCAGAGTTTAAATGATTAATACTTTCCAAAAAGCCAGAAAAATTCAATATAAAGGAGTCAGGAAAACAAATCTCTAGAAAGTATGAGATAAAGCTTTATTGAACAATGAGGAGAGGGTAATTATGAAGCACAGCCCTCCCTCCATAAAGATAATTTCTACTTTGAGAGCCCACTCCCTCTCAAATTTTTTTCAGGAAACCAAGGAGCTGACAAACACCACGTGTGGACGATTCAATCTGTATTTTCAGGAGTCTTATGAAGAATCTTTCCAGCTTAACAGAATGACAGAGAGCAAAGGCCACACCAATACAGACTGGAAATGGAACAGTAATATTTAGCAGACCTAATTAATGTAAGCCCTCCCCAATGCCCCAGCTACAGAACGGCTGGCATTAACCACGGGGAACCCCAAAGCCTCATCCCTACCTCCAATCTGCAACTCAGGACACCCCATTCTCCTCAGCTGAGTGCTCACAGACTCGATCTCCTGGACAAGAGGCACTAGAATCGTCTCATTAATCCACTAGGAAAGAAAAAATGAGAGAATTCAAGAGGTCAGAAGCAACAAAAACATTAAAGAGCCCCCAACTTTTAGCTTTAATTATCACCATTACGACCACAAAGAAGCTTAACAACAGAAACACTGAAGCCAACCAAGGAGGAAAAGTAACTAAATTAGAATACCAGTTAGGCAGAGTTTAAATGACTAATACTTTCTAAAAGGCCAGAAAAATTCAATATAAAGAAGTCAGGAAAACAAATCTCTAGAAAGTATGAGATAAAGCTTTATTGAACAATGAGGAGAGGGTAATTATGAAGCACAGCCCTCCCTCCATAAAGATAATTTCTACTTTGAGAGCCCACTCCCTCTCAAATTTTTTTCAGGAAACCAAGGAGCTGACAAACACCACGTGTGGAATTTGTACGTGACAGGATTTGGGAGCTGAAACAAGCTGGCCCCAGGTTTAGGAAGAGATATTCAGGAATCTGGTGTGGATCTTACACTAATCTTTGCTTTTCACCAATCTAATGGTGACTTAAAAAAACCCCCACAAAACACACAAGCACAACTACATACTTGATAGTTGCTACGACCGAAGGGGCAATTCAAAGTTAGATTTACTAATTGTTTTGCCACCGTGTGGAATTAAGTCCCCTCTGTTACAGCAATTTCTATTGATAAGATCAAAGTTTTGATTTTTATCACACTGCTCAGGATTGTCAGAAATTCAGAGTCGGCTTTTGGGTTGGAGTTTTCCATGCTTTGAGGGCAGGAGGATGAGTGAGAAATACTGCATGGAATCATGGAATTGTCAGTGTGGAAGGGACCTCTAGAGATCATCTAGTCCAACCCCCCTGCTAAGGCACGATTGCCCAGAGCACATTACTCAGGAGCATCCAGGTGGGGCTTGAAGGTCTCCAGAGAAGGGGACTCCACACCCTCCCTGGGCAACCTGTCCCAGGGCTCTGCCACCCTCACCAGAAAGAAGTTCTTCCTCAGATTTGAGTGGAACTTCCCATGTTCCACCTTGTGCCCGTTGCCCCTCGTCCTGTCACTGGGAACCACTGAAAAGAGTCTCCAGCTCCATCCTCCTTCAACCCACCCTTTAGATCCTTGTCAACATTAATAAGGTCTCCCCTCAGCCTTCTCTTCTCCAGGCTAAAGAGCCCCAAGTCCCTCAGCCTTTCCTCATCAGGGAGATGCTCCAATCCCTCAATCATCTCTGTTGCCCTGCGCTGGACTCTCTCCAGCAGTTCCCTGTCTCTCTCGAACTGGGGAACCCAGAACTGGACGCAGGATTCCAGTTGTGGCCTCACCAGTGCAGAGCAGAGAAGGAAAAGAAAAACATCAATTTAGCAGAAACATCAAACAGAAACATCAATTTAGCAATCTGAGCTACAGCAAGGAAACCCAAATCTTGTCAAACCCAAGACTCTTTGGTTTCTCATTCAAAGGTGGATGAAGTTTACCCTTGAAGTATTTAGAAAACAAATCACTGAGGTGAGGGCAAAAATGCATCTCAGTGGTCCTTTCTTAAATCATGCTGTGTTTTCATCTCCTCGTGCCAGCCCACCCCGATCCTCAGACACTGCAATTCTTCCCACCCCCTTCAGCATCTAGAGGACATGGAGGGGATTTTCCACGCTGCTGTGTTAGTTCCTAAAAACCCTGTCTCTGAAACAGCCCTTAGAGATGGGACTTACATTTCTGAACTTAGCAGTCCAGGAGTCCATGTGATCGAGGAGCTGTCGGTTCATTGTCACCCGTGCCCAAACCTATGGAAAGGTTTTGTAAGTGCAGAGAAGAACTTAAGAGAACACCAAGAGGTTTTAGAGTCTATAACAATTTCTGATATTAACTACAGCACATAATTCAAATTGAATTTTACCCAAAATTCTTAGACACCTGCTGGCTTTATCATGTGACTTCCACAGCAGCTTCACATACAACACTCCCACTCTCTATTTGCGGTACAATCATTTTGTATGAGCCCAAATTCAGTTTTAAGCTCTCTGCTCTAGTAGGGTAACATTGGCTGGAATTGTAGGATTGATTTAAGAGGCATCTGAATGCGAAATTTCATTAGGCTAATGCAGGAAAATTGATCTAATTTAATTGAAGGCACATGAATTGTATTCCTTCGCACCAGGCGCAAGCGTAAAGGCTTTATGCTCAATATCCTTCAGCTGTTCCACTGGGTTAAACACGGATCCATTTCAACTCAATTTTTATATCACAAATATATTTTATCCAGAGTACACCTTGCTCTCTGAGGGAGAAACCATTTTCCAACTAAAATTCAGAATTTGACTAGTCTTAGAGTGAAGCTGTATGGTTAAATGCTAGAGGATTTCTCTAAAAAATTTTTGATACAGCTCAAATCTAAACCTTTGCACAAAGCTTTATATTTTAGAGGCCTGTTTTTTCCTCTCAGCCACTTTGCTACCCAATTTACCTCTTCTGCAGCCTGTTTGGAGCTCAGATCAGCGTCGTCCTTGTGTGCTGATGGAGCCTGGGACCTGCAAGCTGGTTGATACTGGAATTTTCTCAGCATCTGTGCGTTGTCTGCCATGGAACGGCTGTAGTTCCAAAACGTTGGGCTGGTGGAAGGAGAGCTGGAGTCTGAACTCCCTGAAACAATTAATTCGTTAAACAAACATGTATGATTATTGCCGAATAATTCTGGAAGCAACAGCATAAGCAACACGTAGAATCACAGAACGATATGGGGTTGGAAGGGACCTCAGAGATCATCTAGTCCAACTCCTGCCCAAGCAGGTCGTCCTAGAGGACATCCCACAGGAATGTGTCCAGGTGGGTTTGAATGTCTCCAGAGAAGGAGACCCCACCAACTCTCTGGGCAGCCTCTTCCAGGGCTCTGCCACCCTCACAGCAAAGAAGTTCCTCCTCATCTTTAGATGGAATTTCTTATGTTCAAGTTTGTGCCCGTTCCCTCTTGTTGACACCCACCCTTGAAGAATTTCTAGGCATTGATCAGATCCCCCCTCACTCTGCTCTTCTCCAGACTAAACAGACCCAAGTCCCACAGCCTTTCCTCAGCAGAGATGCTCTAGGCCCTTAATCATCTTTGTGGCCCTTTGCTGTACCCTCTCTAGCAGTTCCCTGTCCTTCTGGAACTGGGGAGCCCAGAACTGGACCCAGTGCTCCAGGTGGGGCCTCCCCAGGGCAGAGCAGAGGTGCAGGATGACCTCCCTCCACCTGCTGGCCACGCTCTTCCTGATGCCCCCAAGGATGCCATTGACCTTGGCCACAAGGACACATTGCTGGCCATCCTGTTTTCCACAAGAACTCCCAGGTCTTTTTCCACAGATCTGCTCTCCAGCAGGTCACCCCCCAACCTGTCCTGGTGCAGGGGGTTATTCCTCCCCAGGTGCAGCACCCGACACTGTCCCTGGTTGAATTTCATCAGGTTCCTCTCCCTCCAACTCTCCAGCTTGTCCAGGTCTCACTGGATGTTGGCACAGCCTTACATCAGTAGACTAAGGCTTTGACAAGTGACACAAATACGAACTGCCATGAATACATACACTGAAGTCAGTCTGCAGAAACACTGATTTCACCCTTATCTTGATTGTTCCTACACAGCTCAAAATTTGCCAGCAGGTAATTCACCCCCTTTATCTGAAACACCTTCTCCAGAAGCCATCCCTCTCATTAAGGTGATAAAAGCCCATCATCTTATCACGGTCAACCAACCATGCCACAGAGATAATCTATCAGCACAGATATCCTATCCAAAGGAATACTCTGGAGGAAAACTTTCTGAAGCTCCCAAGACATGGAGACGTGTAGACACGATGGTGTTCTACCTCACGTCCTAATTACTCAGTAATTACTAGCACAAGTCCGGAATCCTTTGCAATTTTTCTAACCCAAAAAAGCCAATCTCAAATAAAACCAAGCCCTTCTCCTTTACCAAGCTTTTCTGATCAAATCAGTTTATTTACCTAGTTGAACTCTGTAGTGCTTCTCTTCTTCGTTTCGAAGGAAGGTGTCCAGTGACTTGAGGTCTGTCATATAGTCTTCTTTGCCAGTAGGAGAATTATAGGGAATGGGTGAAGAGCGGTAACGAGATCGTAGCCCACCGCTTTCCACCGGTCCAATACTGGCCGGGTAGGGTGATCCACCAGGAGAGGGGCTGAAGCTGGAGACCTTGGGCAAATAAAAACAAATGGTTGTGTCATTTGAGGAAGACAGAATTCCACCTTGATATGTAAACGACACGAATATAAAAGATTTGGGGTTGTTTTTGCAGTGCTAAGGGACATGGTGTAGGGGAGGACTTTGTAGAGTAGGGTAGATGGTTGGGCTCGATGATCCCAAGGGTCTCTTCCAACCTGAATGATTCTATGATTCTATTTTTCTCCTTTATATTCACATTTTGGTTTCTTATTTTTGCTTTGTCCTGGAACAAAAGCAGCCACTCGAAAACAGGTGAAGTGACACCGGGGAAAAAACAACAAGTCCTGATTAGATGAATTTCCATCTAACTTTGCAAATCTCTGCTGGCGCCGCTCACCTTGGATGGCAGATGGGACAACACCCAGGAGCTGTCTTGGTCCTTACCTTATTGTAGCTGCTGCTGGGTGAATAGGTGACAGCGCCGCCGTAAGAAGCGCTGTTGCTTGACAGAGCCTGTAGCTGAGGGCTGTACCCCGCGATACAACTGGTAGTGAACTTTGGACTGGCACTGGGGGAGCGGGACGGGCTGTAGCTCAGCACACTTTGACCCTGGATCGGAGGAGAAGGTGTAGAAGATGGGACTTTCTTGGCTGCCAGCTCACGCGGGGGAGTTGTTTGTACCGCTGCAAAAAGGAAAAGCACAATTAGCATCGAGGACGTAGCAGCCCCAAACTTTCCTCCCCCAAAATGCTATCTTAAGGCAATTTTATAAAGATGCTAGAAGGGACGTGAGGAAAATCCGGCCCCTATAGAACTCAGCAGTTCATCCACTGAGAGGACAAAAAGAGAAGACCGAGACACACAACCACAACTCAGCACAAATCCTACAGTTTCAGATTTCAGCACCTCGCATTGACACCCACCCTTGAAGAATTTCTAGGCATTGATCAGATCCCCCCTCACTCTGCTCTTCTCCAGACTAAACAGACCCAAGTCCCACAGCCTTTCCTCAGCAGAGATGCTCTAGGCCCTTAATCATCTTTGTGGCCCTTTGCTGTACCCTCTCTAGCAGTTCCCTGTCCTTCTGGAACTGGGGAGCCCAGAACTGGACCCAGTGCTCCAGGTGGGGCCTCCCCAGGGCAGAGCAGAGGTGCAGGATGACCTCCCTCCACCTGCTGGCCACGCTCTTCCTGATGCCCCCAAGGATGCCATTGACCTTGGCCACAAGGACACATTGCTGGCCATCCTGTTTTCCACAAGAACTCCCAGGTCTTTTTCCACAGATCTGCTCTCCAGCAGGTCACCCCCCAACCTGTCCTGGTGCAGGGGGTTATTCCTCCCCAGGTGCAGCACCCGACACTGTCCCTGGTTGAATTTCATCAGGTTCCTCTCCCTCCAACTCTCCAGCTTGTCCAGGTCTCACTGGATGTTGGCACAGCCTTACATCAGTAGACTAAGGCTTTGACAAGTGACACAAATACGAACTGCCATGAATACATACACCCCAGGTGCAGCACCCGACACTTGCCCTGGTTGAATTTCATCAGGTTCCTCTCTACCCAACTCTCCAGCCTGTCCACGTCTCACTGGATGGTGACACAGCCTTACATCAGTAGATTAAGGCTTTGACAAGCGACACAAACCCGAACTGCCACGAATACATACAGTGAAGTCAGTCTGCAGAAACACTGATTTCACCCTTATCTTGATTGTTCCTACACAGCTCAAAATTTGCCAGCAGGTAATTCACCCCCTTTATCTGAAACACCTTCTCCAGAAGCCATCCCTCTCATTAAGGTGATAAAAGCTCATCATCTTATCATGGTCAACCAACCGTGCCACAGAGATAATCTATCAGCACATATATCCTATCCAAAGGAATACTCTGGAGGAAAACTTTCTGAAGCTCCCAAGACATGGAGACGTGTAGAAACGATGGTGTTCTACCTCACGTCCTAATTACTCAGTAATTACTAGCACAAGTCCGAAATCCTTTGCGATTTTTCTAACCCAAAAAAGCCAATCTCAAATAAAACCAAGCCCTTCTCCTTTACCAAGCTTTTCTAATCAAATCAGTTTATTTACCTAGTTGAACTCTGTAGTGCTTCTCTTCTTCGTTTCGAAGGAAGGTGTCCAGTGACTTGAGGTCTGTCATATAGTCTTCTTTGCCAGTAGGAGAATTATAGGGAATGGGTGAAGAGCGGTAACGAGATCGTAGCCCACCACTTTCCACTGGTCCAATACTGGCCGGGTAGGGTGATCCACCAGGAGAGGGGCTGAAGCTGGAGACCTTGGGCAAATAAAAACAAATGGTTGTGTCATTTGAGGAAGACAGAATTCCACCTTGATATGTAAACGACACGAATATAAAAGATTTGGGGTTGTTTTTGCAGTGCTAAGGGACATGGTGTAGGGGAGGACTTTGTAGAGTAGGGTAGATGGTTGGGCTCGATGATCCCAAGGGTCTCTTCCAACCTGAATGATTCTATGATTCTATTTTTCTCCTTTATATTCACATTTTGGTTTCTTATTTTTGCTTTGTCCTGGAACAAAAGCAGCCACTCGAAAACAGGTGAAGTGACACTGGGGAAAAAAAGGACAAATCCCGATTTGATGAATTTCCATCTAACTTTGCAAAATCTCTGCTGGCACCGCTCACCTTGGATGGCAGATGGGACAACACCCAGGAGTTGTCTTGGTCCTCACCTTATTGTAGCTGCTGCCGGGTGAATAGGTGACAGCGCCGCCGTAAGAAGCGCTGTTGCTTGACAGAGCCTGTAGCTGAGGGCTGTACCCCGCGATACAACTGGTAGTGAACTTTGGACTGGCACTGGGGGAGCGGGACGGGCTGTAGCTCAGCACACTTTGACCCTGGATCGGAGGAGAAGGTGTAGAAGATGGGACTTTCTTGGCTGCCAGCTCACGTGGGGGAGTTGTTTGTACCGCTGCAAAAAGGAAAAGCACAATTAGCATCGAGGACGTAGCAGCCCCAAACTTTCCTCCCCTAAAATGCTATCTTAAGGCAATTTTATAAAGATGCTAGAAGGGACGTGAGGAAAATCTGGACCCTATAGAACCCAGCAGTTCATCCACTGACAGGACAAAAAGAGAAGACCGAGACACACAACCACAACTCAGTACAAATCCTACAGCTTCAGATTTCAGCACCTCGCATAACCCCGGGGGGCTTCTCTAAACTACTGCATCAGCTGCTCTACCTGCCTGTTTCATGCTTATTTAGCACATTGAATGTCTTAATTTATCTGTGCAAATAAACATATAAGATCCTTGAACTTTGGTGAATCAGCATTACTCCTGTCTGATACCCATTTTCTAGGGGCAGACTAGCTGTGTGTAATATTACTGTGCTAACATTCTGCTTTATTTACCTTGTCAGGTTCTGCTGCATGTTAAAACTCTGCTTTGATGCTCAAAAGCTTTCTCTCCGAGTGTTTGCCCTCCAGGCTGTCATTTTCAGGCTTCACATCAAGGTCTGTCCGTCCCTCTAATTTGGTTCTCAATACCCAGTGTCATATTAGTAGGATACCAAAACTAAATTCCAGCCATTCTCCACCCAACCTGTATCTGTGCTTGGGATTGCCATGTCCCAGGTGCAGGACCCTGCACTTGGTTTGGTTGAACTTCATGAGGCTTGCATAAGCCCACCTCTCCAGCCTGTCCAGGTCCCTCTGGATGGCATCACTTCCCACCAGCGTGTTGAAAGCTCCACACAGCTTGGTGTCATCAGCAAACTTGCTGAGGGCGTGCTCTATCCCACTGTCCATGTCTCCAACAACAATGTTGAACAGCACTGGTCCCAGTACAGACCCCTGCGGAACACCACTGGTCACTGGCCACCACTTGGACGTTGAGCTGTTGACCACAACCCTTTGAGTGTGGCCATCCAACCAGTTCCTGATCCATTGAGTGTTCCACCCATCAAATCCATGACTTTCCAATTCTGAGACCAGGATGTTGTGTGGGACAATGTGGAACACTTTGCATAAGTCCAGGTAGATGATGTCTGTTGCTCTGCCCTTGTCTACCAAGGCTGTGGCAATATCGTTAAAGGCCACCAAATTTGTCAGGCATATCTTGACATCCCTGCCATTCAGGAAGACACCACCTCGAAACAACAACAACAAAAAGAATAAAAATAATTGCCAGGGATATTTATTGCACCCACCTGCGTTCTGCAACCCCAGCAGAGTCTGCTGGCCAGGACTCATGACCAAGCTCGTCGGTGCCACTGTGTATTTGAAGTACATCCAGAAATCAAACAAGGCATTCAGGCTGAACAGAGATGCAAGTGCAAGTTCTAGAAGAAACAAACACACAAGTTTTCACCACAGCTTGAGCATGGGGAATAATAGAAGTATATTATTTGCAAAAACAGGCATATGCCCATCAAAAATAGGTCATTATTACTGCTATCGATAAGTACCGGTTTGGGGATCTAAGATTCCTTTACCTTCTTATGCGAGAATCATTAGAGATAATTTTCCTTGCTATATTGAGACTACTTTACATCACTAAAATTGATTATTTTTTTTTAATGGACAGTTATTTTCCAAAAAGGGCATAAATTACTGCAATGAAGTTTCACAGTATTTCTGAAAAATCATCTTCTGTCAAATCATGTCACTCATCTCAGGATTTTTCTCCCCATCTCACTTCATACTCTAATATTTGATACGGCCAGGTTAGAGTCTATTCATCCAAAACAAACTTTAATTACCATGAAATGCCATCCACACCCACACAGTACAACACAGGAGTAAAACCCGCAGCGTTCTCCACACATTAAACAGATTTAATGCACCGAACAAGTTCCTCATGCCCTTTTGTGATATATGTAAGGAAGTTGTTAACACTCCTTGACTGTCACTAAAAAGATGAAATTCCAACAGTTTTAAGACACGTAACAGAAAGCAAAACAAAGTTTTGGTTTAAATTAAAAAAAGTGGAAAAAAAGAAAAAAAAGGCTTGCTTAAAAATGACCTCCCCAGCAATAAAACTGAGTAGTGGAAAAAGAAAAGAACCTTGAAAATGAATTGAAATGCTGCAGCGACTCACCGATGTACCAGAGTGGCCAGTACGTGATGTTGTAATACGAACTTATGAGTTTTCCAGTCCTGAAAAGAAAACCAAGAAGTTATCATTTTGCAACTATTCAGTCCCAGGGAAATATTTAGGGATCTACAAAGTAGGATGCTTCGCTCGTTTGAATCTGGTGTAACATTTAACGTACATTTCAGTATATATCATGCCTGCAATAGACATGTTAAGGAGTCCCCAGGCCCACACCACTTTCCGGGCTTCAGTCTCCTTCTTCATCTTGATGGTCCTGTCGATGAGGGAAGTCGCTGGACTCTGTTCTGGTGTCATTGTCTCTAATAACAAACACAGAAGACATAATCTGTCAACTTTTATACAGGAAGATTCTCAGTCAGAAAGATATGAAAGAAAACACAGTCATCCTAAATGAACGATATAAACGTTCTTTACCTTTAGCCACTGAGTCATGTTTACATATTTTTAAAAAAAGCAGATTCTTTTTACCAGTAAAAATAGGTAATATTTCTTCAATGAACTCTACTGTCAGCACTGTCACCTCATTACCAAGGAACAGAGCCCATCTTCTGCAGTGAGGTGCAGATAAGAGGACACAGACTGATTCCAACCCCATTTTTGAAAAATAACATCCTTCAGAAGTGAGAGAAAAGAAAAGACCTGGGAGTTCTGGTGGGCAACAGGATGACCATGAGCCAGCACTGGGCCAAGAAGGCCAGTGGCATCCTGGGGGGCATCAAGAAGAGCGTGACCAGCAGGTGGAGGGAGGTCATCCTGCCCCTCTGCTCTGCCCTGATGAGGCCCCATCTGGAGCACTGGGTCCAGTTCTGGGCTCCCCAGTTCAAGAGGGACCGGGAAATGCTGGAGAGGGCACAGCAGAGGGCTACAAAGATGATGAGAGACCTGGAGCATCTCTCTGCTGAGGAAAGGCTGAGGGACCTGGGTTTCTTTAGTCTGGAGAAGACTGAGGGGGGATTTGATCAACACCTATAAATACTTAAAGGGTGGGTGTCAGGAGGACAGGGCTGGTCTTTTTTTCAGTGGTTCCCAGTGACAGGACAAGAGGAAATGGGCACAAAATTGAACATTAGATGTTCCATCTAAACATGAGGAGGAACTTCTTCACTCTGAGGGTGGTAGAGACCTGGAATAGGCTGCCCAGAGAGGTGGTGGAGTCTCCTTCTCTGGAAATGTTCAAACCCTGCCTGGACACGTTCCTGTGGGACCTGCTCTAGGACGACCTGCTTTGGCAGGGGGTTGGACTAGATGATCTCCAGAGGTCCCTTCCAACCCCATATCATTCTGTGATTCTGTGAGAGGCAAAGCTCCTGCTTTCTCCAGACAAAGGAAATCACAGGAAGGAAGGGCCTTGAATGGCTCTGCAGTTTTCCTAATGAAAATTCTCACTCATTTCAGTTGGTAACAGAGTATTTTCAGTCTGTACAGCCACCTCCTGTGGGTTCAGCGTATCTGAAAGGTAGCCACATTTATGCCCAGTAACACCTCACGTGAAAGAAATAACCCTGGGGACTTTTTCTGCTACTCCCATCACCAAAATATGCTACAGTTCCTTCCTGCCATTCACTTAACAACTTGTCACCTGATTCTTCACTAGATGGGAACATAAATAATTTGCTTTCTGGGACAAATACTTCCAACTGTACATTGCTCCCTTAAAAAAAAATTTAAAAATACAAAACCCAAATCAGATTACCCGGTTCCTACTAGTACAATGATTCAAAGGCAAAATAGTTAATATCAGGACTACTGGAAGAATTATAAAAGAACATGTTGCCTGGTATTTTTTTTTGACAAGTTTTTATCCAGTTTGAGCCCCAAGACTTCCCTTCCCACACTGACAAATATAGCAGCCCTAAGCAGAGATCCTCTCCCCACCCTCACACTCCCAACCTCTATCCCTGAATCATGTTCTCCTGCAGAAGCAGAAGTTGTACCGTTAGGGCACTGAAATAAAAGTCAGATCTGGTGCTATTCCACTCGCTTAGAAGGGATGGGTGGAGGCTTTCATATCAGGACTGTAATATAGAATCATAGAATCATAGAATCGTCTAGGTTGGAAGAGACCCTTGGGATCATTGAGTCCAACCATCTACCCTACTCTACAAAGTCCTCCCCTACACCATGTCCCTCAGCACTGCATCTAAACGGCCCTTAAACACAGCCAGGGATGGTGACTCCACCACCTCCCTGGGCAGCCTGTTCCAATGCCCGACCACTCTTTCGGTGAAAAATTCTTTCCTAATGTTCAATCTAAACCTACCCTGTTGGAGCTTGAAGCCGTTCCCTCTTGTTCTGTCACTAATTACCTGTGAGAAGAGACCAGCACCAACCTCTCTACAGTGTCCTTTCAAGTAGTTGTAGAGAGTGATGAGGTCTCCCCTCAACCTCCTCTTCCTCATACTAAACAGTCCCAACTCCCTCAGCCGCTCCTCATACGATTTGTTTTCCAGCCCCCTCACCAGCTTCGTTGCCCTCCTCTGCAGTCGCTCCAGCACCTCCATATCTCTCTTGTATTGAGGTGCCCAAAACTGGACACAATACTCGAGGTGTGGCCTCACCAGTGCTGAGTACAGGGGCATAATCACCTCCCTACTTCTGCTGGTCACACTATTTTTGATACAAGCCAGAATGCCATTGGCTTTCTTGGCCGTCTGGGCACACTGCCAGCTCATATTCAGCCGTTTGTCAACTAGAACCCCCAGGTCTCTGTCCTCACGTACCTCCTTCCCTCTTCTACTAAGGGACAGTAAGGAGGGAAGGCATCACATTGACAACCCATAAGGCACTGACCCCAGTGCCACACGTGGAAGTCCCCCACACCTCCCCTTGTCACAAACCCCTCAGCTTCCTCCACGCATGCCCCTCTGCCACACACAGCCCCAGCACCCCTTTCCCAAGACCCCACAGCACCCTCCACCCAGATCTCACTGTCACGCACCAAGAAGCCTCACATCTTCCCCTGCCACACACAGGGGCCCTCAGGGCTCCCCTTACCCACACCCCACCGTCAAAGGCAGGCAGCCACCACATCTCCCCCCACAGCCACCCCGGGGCGCCTCCATAACTCCCCAGACCCCACTACGTTACACACAGGCAGCCCCACAGCTCGCACTGCCCGCACCCCTGTCACACAGAAGAGGCCTGACACCCCCCATCCTGTCCCCTGTCCCACTGAGGCGGCCCCACAGCCCTG